TACATAGAAGTCACTTATTTCCTTAGAAAAATTTCGAAAATAACCCTTGAACATTACAGATAAATATTCCTGATATTGTTTACATTCATGGAACATTCCTTATTTTCCATCACGTGGAAACAAGTCAAGTGTGGTAAAACTTCGATCACCGACTGTAAAACCAATCTCAAGTGACATTAGTTTTATTAGGACAGTAAATATGCTTTTACCTAACTGATAAACCTTGTATCTCACCTGAATATATCTCTAGAAAACATATACGTTTATGCAGGTTGAGTGATACCGGGTTTATGTGATATTTATTATACGCAGGCGTTATTAGTTTTTATATCTCCGGAATAAGACGTTTTTCTTGTAAGCGATAAAATTTAATGCAAAGCGCATTTCTAGTTTTTTCACTTTTCAGAAAGATTTTTAGCGTCTTTCAGTTCAAGAAATGTCAGTATCAATTATATGAGTCACATTGCTCATTAGCGATTTTCTTCGAAAATTCGGAATGTTAAAATATTACTAACTTCAGTTAAGAAGTTATTTCATATTTTTAAATTTGTGTCTAGGAATCGATGGTTTGAAGTTATTTTTAGAAAACAGGAGAAAATCCTAAAGGTGTCTTATATTTGATTTTTGAAATCTTATTGACTGTCTGCCTTAAATATCTATCTCTCTTTTCACACATCCTTTAATTTTTTCTACAGGATATGTCATGACAAATGAGTTTCTTAAAAAACAAATGAGGATTGACTAGTGAAAAAACGGTGTAAAGAAATCAATATGAAAACATATTTTGTCAAGAACCTGAAATTGATTTCTTACACCATAATATTAATTGAATCCTGTTTGAATCAAACCCGAGAAATGTAGGTGATGAGTTAATGAAACATATTTTCAGTATTTGACAGGACTCTTAATCTGCCGAAAATTCATAAAACATGACACTAGAAGAGATAGACAAGTTTCTTAGATTTCGAGAGTTTGAACCCACAACTTAGCTTGCGAAAAATTTACATGTTTAATATATCCTGGAATCTAGAAAAGGGGATAATAATTGCTAGATGTTAAATATTTAGTTTATATGACATGAGTATTACAGCTTCACTCCTTAGTTATCTTTCTGGTTCATTCTAAAATTAGAATTCATCGATATTTTTAGAGACTGTAGAAAAAAATCTAGCATGTCCTTATTAAATAAAAATTGAGTTGATGAAATTCAATGAACGAAACGCCGCATTGCAAATGGGTTTATATATAACAAATATGAAATAGTACTGAAATAATCCGTGTAAGGAATCACACGTTGAAAGGTAAGACCTCGTTAGTCCTTAGCTCGCACAAGTTTCTCAACTTCTGAGAGTTGGCGTTCGTATGAGGGCGATAGCTGATTAACGGAAAAACATATTTTAAACAGAACAGATTGAAATATGAAATAGTATTCGAAACTGAGGAGGTAGAGCTTAAAAACGAAATTCGGCATTTCTATTTTTTGACGAATATTTCAAAAAACACTAATATTCTGGATCTGAAAAGAGATTATTCTAGTTCCCCAAAAAAGGACCCCTTCGTCGAATTTAACCGGCCTGTACCGGCCTGTACTGTATTTGTTCAGTTCCTAATTTGGCATTGATTTATATTGATATTTGAATAACATATATCTAGAAAATCGATTGATTTTTGTTTCACTGAAGTTGAAAAATAAATGAATAGTGTACAGCGTAGAAATATTATTTCTTTATATTACCAACTCCTGGAATTTCAAGTTATAAACTGTATTTATTGCAACACAAATCACAAAAAATAAAAACATATTTTGCAAACATTTTCGATATGGTAAAATAATAATATTCTTTTTTATTTTCATAAATTCTCTCATTTTAAAAAAATCAGGAGACTGAGGTGGAACTTCATAATATAGGGAGAGGGTGTGCAGAACACTTGATTTTCAAATGCCAAGTTCTACTCCGCACTCGATTTCCTTAAAAGAGTGAGACTAATATAACATCTGACATCAATGAACCAGTTCCTAATACACTGAGCAGCTTTTAAGGTTAGATACTGTAACAACCCTTTTGAATAAAAATCTACATCACGAAGTTTTATGAATACTCATCATTTTCACTTTTTCTTTGGACGTTCACTATTCTCCAAAACAATGAAGTTGGAAAAAGTTCAGTTTGTTTTTCAATCAACCTCCATCAAACTCTCAACACACACCCTGTATTTATTTCCGTGACGTTGAGACGTAGGATTCTTTTCTTGGCATATTCCTTGGTTCGTTCACGACTACAATAAAATATTTTCCATATTGTGAAGCAGCTAGTTTTATCTAGAGACAGAGACTGGTTCTTTATTTGAATAATATATTTTATTGGGTTTCAAGAAGTTATAAACTTCAAGAGGATCTGATAAAAATTTTTCAGAGTTTTACTGAAATCGAAAACGTCGATTCGAAGTGATAGCACCATTAGAGTGAAATGGAAAACAATAGTGAAATCGACAAGTTCGGCAGATTTGATTGATGGAAGTTTTTAGAAAAAGTATACTTGAAAGTGTCAGATGCAGAGACGAGTTGCGTGATTTCTTAATTAAGGCTATCAAGTAACCCGTATAATGACTAGTCATTATACGCTTTTCTTATTTCGGCTCAGAACGAAATTATAGAATGATCAGTCTAGATTTGATAATGAATTGAGAATGAGTCCAATTTCACAGCTCACTTCTGTCCAAGCAAGAACGTAGAAATACTGAAATGCATTTTTATACGAATTGTATATATGAAAGAGGCTCTCATATACGTTGAGTAACAATGTATTGTCATACATTTTCAGTACAAAAAAAATTGAGACTTTGAAAGAGGTATATTTTATAGGAGACATACGTAGATTTGTCTCTACACTTTGATTCTCACTTTTAATCATACATCAATGATTTTGATACTTTGCCCTTTTCCAAAACGTGTTAAGAGACACCAAATTTTTCTGGTCTTTTTGTGTGCAGTGTGTTCTTTGAAACGAATTGTTATATTTCGTTTAGCCTAACCAATATACTGTTGATCACAATCCGGATGATTTTATTTATCCCCAACTTTTCCTTTTAGTATGAAAGAGGCTCTCATATCTAAAACCGAAAGTATTCAATGTAACCATCGAACTAAAAATTACCAATAGTGTTTTTTGAATACGGTAACCCCCTTCGATTCTTATACAATTTTTCCGACGTTCTCGCAATTTTTTGACCACTTTCCATCAAGTAAGAAAAGGCGATGATATTTCTTCTTACAAAAACGCCATCTTGGGATCGATAGAAGACTCGATTCTCAAATAACAATGATAAAGGAGGCTCCCAAAAGCGGTCCGTTGCAAAGCCATACTTACACTGTAGCTTTCACTGCAAGAAAACTGAATGAAATCAGAGCCCAAAGACAAAGCAGTCGTGATCTAGTACCACACAGCGCCGTTTCGATCCGCCATAGTGGTACTAGGCTGAACTACAAATGCACTGTAGTTCAGACTTAAAGGACAAAAAAACGCAACGCACCGCCTTTGTAAGCTTCTATAAGGACAGTTGTATGCAACAATAATTTAGCAGAAGGTGGCGGGTCGAAATGGCGTTGTCTGGTGTTGGATCGTAAATGCGTTATGATTGGGCTCTGGTTTCTAGCTAAGACCAAATTTCTCGAGTTATCTGAGCGAAAACTTGATATTAGGTAACAATCAGAAGTCAAATGGGGTCAGATATAGACTGTACGGTGGATGAAGTATGGCTGTGTACATTTAGAAAATTCACTGTGATCTAAATGAAGTCGCATATTATCTCGATGATCCAATCTTAGTGCAAGATACAAAACGCTGTCTACTGAAATGTCCAATGATGTGCTAACGATATACACCCTTTTCAATCAGTTTGAACTATGTTCTTGTAAACAAGAAAATATGCATTTAGTGGAGAACTGGTTGAATATGTTGTCGAAGTTATTGAAGATGAATATATTTTGAACAGAATTTTTTGAAATTCAATTTTCCCTGTTGATATGCAGATATGCTGCATGAATGTTAATAGTAATTTTGTGTTAGATATTTCATTTGTGAAACTCCTAGGTCGAGAGGTTTTTCTACGTGATAGAGCCTCAAGAAGTCCTATGTGTTTAGGCTATGTTCAAATGACTAGAAATCATAATTTCCAGATATTTTATGAAATGTTGATCGCACGACTTTCCAATTTTGGACATCAATGATTTTTGATAAAATTTAGTACATTAAATAACAGAGCGCCAAAAAATTGGTATATATTGAATAAAATGAGACCAAAGATATACCATATATTTGCTAGTTTTCTAATTAATTTTGACAAACTGAATTTTATTTTTCCGCGCCATCTCTCTACTGATGTGAATGCAGTACAACAAAAAAATGAATTTTTGTAAGTCGGCAACAACTAGGCAGAGACCAATAAATGAATTTTATTTAAGAACTATTGAAGGAGTAATTTTTCAAGTTGATTGATAAGCAAATGATCCAAAGGGAAACATGTGGAAGGCACACGAAAATATTAAGAAATGTTTCTCATCTATTCGATAGACTTGCAATTTCTGGCTGTTCCTTGGAAGTTAGGTTGGGACAGTCAAATTTATGCCAACACCAATATTATCAAAGCTTTGGAGAAAGTGAGAGCAGAGGAGTAACTTAGAAAAAGGGCATGAACATTTGGATGATTGAATAATTATTTCTGTAGAGTGTGTTAATCAACTATTTGAATAGCCCTCGTAGTAACATTAACTATTTTTGACTCCCAGAAAAAAAAGATCTAACATTTCCGCACTTTCCGATTATAATAAAAATAACAAAAGTATACTAATACATTTGAGATGCAGTACAAATAAGTTACGAGGGGAAAACGATACACACTGTCAAACCCCATAACCGTATTCTGGAGCTATTAAGAATCAACTTCATCATCATCATCGGTGTTCAATTTATTTGGATTGACGTTTGAAAAAATCAACTCACCTGGCAAAAACTCCAGCCCTCCCGGTTGAGGTGTGAACGGTCTAAACGTAATAGTAAAATACATAAGCTTGTAAGGTTTATCGCAAACAGCTATTATCTTGGGATTGGGGTTAGTTATCCTACAGGTTTCGTATTCATCCTTGGAAACGTTGTAGATGATGTACTTCTCCATCTCTTCGTCTCGCATGCCGGGCATGTACACGGGGCATATCAGGTTCACCTGGAACAAACAGATGACATACATATTTACGAGGGATATTCAAAAAGTAACGTTAATAAAGCCCCAGATTAAAACATTTTTTGTGGAAAGGAAAAATACTTCTCATTCCTGCAGTGTGTTAGATATTAGGTTATTAGTTCCCAAAGTTAACCCCACAAGTACCGAAAAATCAGTATAAATTCAATTATTCTACAAGGTGAAAATGTTAGAAGTAATTATTTAGAAAAGGATTGTTACAAAAGAGTGAGAGAAGATCGTGTATAAATGAAAAAATACACATTCATGTATAGTGTTTCAAATTGATTACTTCCTTCCTTTCTTTGGAAGATTCTCTCATCCCTTTTTTTTGTATCAGATGGAGTAGTAGAAAGCCAAAAACTTTCTTTCCCGAAAAAAATATAACCCCTTCAATTCAAAAAATAGATGTTCTTACAGCTATTACTACAAAAATTACAACTTTGTAGCCATTCAAAAGTTATTTTATCTCAATACTATGGAACCAATGATATACCGAATGGACCAATGATATACCGAATAACATGAAAAAAAAAATTATAAATGAAAGAAAATGTCTTTTAAAAAAAAATTATGAATATTTTTATACAGCAATTGTTTCTATTCTGTAGAAGAATACAGAAAAATAAGAAATACAGAAATATAAGTCGAGTATATGATGCGTAAACGGTAAAAAGGTTTTAATTTCAAGTCATACATTGCATTTTTAGCAGTTTCAGTGAAATAACCTTGTTCATTGTCCTTAGATAAGCTATTTATGAGAACACAGGAACTGATTTTATGCAAAAGTATTTCCATAATGATTATTTGCTGTGCAAACTGCGATACTGAAACTCGTGTTTGTGCATTGAATGTTTTTTTATAGGTTTTTTTTCCGGTTCATATTTGAAGTTTTTCAAACTTCCTCCAACCATTAAACAGAGTGTAGTATATGTTTTTATGTAGAATTTTTGTTATGCTCAAGATATTCAACTGTTATCACTATCATTGACTGACCAATCGTTATTGTTTGTGTAACTTTCCTGTAATTTTTTTTTAAATTTGTAATTTAACGTGTCGATGATGCTTGTGTTTCTAAAGATCAATAAAAATCAGTATTATAATCTTTGACAGAATAAAATTAGTCTTTTAGTCATATTATTACGTCTTTTTCCTTTCATCAAATAGGTTATCAACATCATTGATGGTCTCACCTGATCATATTCAAACTTAACGTTGTTCCTATTGACATCGATGATATTGTCGGTGTTATCGATACGAAAAATGGGGTTCGACGAGTTCCAGTGTATCGTGTAAAACTTGGCGTTGCTCGGCAAAGTGGCCAGCGCGAACCAGTGCAAGCTGAAGGTTAGAAGAACGAGGCCCTGCAGAAGTACGCGGGTCGGTTGCCAAATCATCGTGCTTCTTCTAATTCGAGTGCTGTCGGTCGACGATTTACATGACTTTCTCCCTTTCCATCAATCTGGAACAAAATAAAGAAATATTGGCAAAATGATTTTTAGAGATGTTGTGTTTGCTTTCTTAAACCCAGTTGAATTCAACACATTTATTCCCAAATCGAGTTTTTTTTTAATAAAATGAAAATAGGCAGAATCTAACTTTATATATTATAAGTGATACGTTCATCTTACATTTTTGTTCATTATTCGATTTTCTAAACATAGTCTACCGCAAAATGCATCTACTAATCCTAAAATAATAAAATCTGTCATCTGTCAATAAAATTATTTGAGATCTACCAACTGGCCGGATAGCCTTATTTGCTGATGCCATTGAATCGAAAAGAAGAAGAAGTTATTTGATGTCAGATTCTTCTAGGCTGAAGCATAAGAATAATATAACTTCTCGACAATAGATGGAACGATGTTAAACGTGATCATTCCGTAAAATCACAAACACTGGCGTAAATTGATATAGAAAATGTGGTCTCATGTTAAAACTACTAGTAGTGAAAGAATTGAGACCAGGGTCAATTAAACCTTACTCAACTCAGAACCTGCTTTGAACATCGTAATTCGTTGTACAATTGAATGTTGAATCCAGGTCTTTTGTATGGCCGTTGTTTCTCTCTCGGCCAAGTTCCTCCTCTAAACAGCTGTCAGGAGATTTCGTGGGGACACACAGCAATCTTGCTGTGTGGGGAAACACAGCAAAACTAGGGGTGGCAGGCTGCCACATCTAGTTTTTGTTCATTTAAAAACAATAATTGTTCAAGTTTGCCTCCTCCTCGGGAGACCTTTAATTTTTTGTTCACATACATGACCCCCTTTACGTGGTTATACGAACCACGCTGGCCTGGTTACCGGCGTGAATAAAGGGGGCCCTCACTTCACATTTGATAAAACTTTTACATTTCACATATAAATTACTTCAATTGGCGGACAGTCACTAAATAAAAAGAAGTTCCGCAATAGTTCCGCACATGGTCCCTCCGTCCAATACCAATATTAAAGCCCTGATGAATAAGAACTAACCTTTAAATGGTCATATACCACATCACATACTACAAACAACTTATCACACGCCATATGCTGCAGATTTGAATGTTTGAGCTCATTTTTGACGAAATGAATGAAGGTATATAATTGGAATTCAATTGAGGATGACAAATCTAATAGTTTTTATGTTTATATATGTTTATTATAGGCCCCTTGTAGTTCAACTTGAATATACACTTTATAATTTTGTTATGAAGTTAGCTGGTTTCAATAAATATTTGTTGTCATTTGAATATACTGATGAAAAATAAAGCAATCTAATTTATTCAAATGGTACAAAATTTATTTTGAATAAGATTCTAATTATGGGAGCTATTGTTGTTGATAAATTTTCATCTAGAATGAGACCAAGAAATGTAGCACTAGGACAGTGTCTAATATTTTAATTATTGATCTTTTGAATAGTTTGATATAGACCTTTTTGATATAAACATATAGAAAAATTTCTAAAAATTCATTGACATTTTATGGCATTGAAGCCATAATGATATTTCATCAAGGTGTTTTAAAATATCAATTGTAAGTTTTGGTACACTATTTACATTGTGAATTGAAGTGATTTCATCACCAAACATTTTTGATTTACCAAATGAATTTACTGTAGGTAGGTCCAAGTATTTATCCTTGCGGTACCCCCATATTATATTATGTCGTCCATAAGGACTTATTGCTTCCTATTCAGTCAATAATTTCGAAACCAATTAAAAAGTAAACCTCGGATATTATGTGTTATTTTTGGAAGAGTTTTATGGTCCACGGTATCAAATGTTATCTTTAGGTCTAATAAAAAACCCACAACTTTTTGTTCGAATCTAAATCTAGCTGGTAAATCTGATAATTATATGTAGAATTCGTTGTAAACAGAAGATCAAGATCAACAACTGAGCTCAGCAAATATGATATCGCTTTTCAAATGACTGCCTAAAAAATATGCTAATCGCCGCAATAAAAACTTGAACACGGAAACAGTTTCTCAAGTTTTAAATTTCAACCATCAACTATTTTATCACCTCTCCTAAAAAGTTAGCACTCCAGTACCTCGTAAATAATATATATCTGGGTATCTGTCTTAGAACCGTTGCAAAACGTTTTCAACAGGAAAATGTAGGCCGCTCGAATTGAAAGATCACATTCTGTCGACACCGTACGGAACACCTTGTATTATTCGCTGAAATGTTGTATTCCATGGAATTATGTGCTTATTACGGCGCGAATGAAGCCTTGAATAATGATATGGATCCATCTTATTGAGTGGTTACAGTCGAAGAATTCGCCAGGAACAAAAGAAGCTTGACTAACACGGTTTAACGTTGAAGGTGATTGCATCTAAATTATTATCTGTTATAGTAATTACGGTGAGTTGATAGACAGTTCTCCTGGATTCTGGAATGTACGAGGGGATATTGCCGAATACAAGACTTACCATAAACTATAAACGAATACTGCACTCGTTTAAACAAAGTTACAAAAAGAACAAGATGACGAAAAGGTACAGTTAAAGAGAGAAAATGAAGATACAATCAAAATAATCAAGCAAAAAAATTTGGTTTCATGTATCTGTAGAGTAGGGAGGGTGAGTGTAGGCCCACAGCATTTAGGCCACACGTGACCAATTATACATTCTCCCAAGGAGTTGTCATCCTAGGTCATCGTCCATCCTGCCCTTTCCAGGAATGTGGATAGGTCGCGATAGGTAGACATCTCCTTTATATCGGCAGGTGTAGGCCAAGACTCGTCGAACACACACTCTCTTATTGACGATAACTTCGGGCACTCGCATAGGACATGCCTGACAGTCTCATCTTCCTGTTCACACATCCTGTATAGAGGTGTGCCCACTAGCCCCATAATATAGAGGTGAGTCATCAGGCCGTAGGTGTCACCGGGTCCTAAAATTCTTAGTCCAGCCGCTTCCTAGGCTAAAGAATCGGAAATTCGATTACTCTTACTCCTGTCGTTCCCTTCAACTGACCTCAGGATAATGTTACTATCCACCGAGGCTTTGGCTAAATCTTGGTGGCACTCTAGTACCAGCCCTGAGGTAACACGTTGTCTGTTCCAAGGCTAATAGGGCTTTTCTGCTGTTAGTGCAGATTGTTATGTTTTTACCAGAAATTCCTTTCCTGGTTATTTCTTTTGTGGCGATTGAGATACCAGCCAGTCCTGTTTGGAGAACGCTGGTATTTTTCCCATTCCCCACTTAATACATAGGCTTAGTGATCTGGAGTAAACTTCACATCCTTAGCCTTCTTTGGTTTTTGAGCCGTCTGTATGTATGCGTATTGCATTTGTAGCATCAGACTCTCTTCTGTTCAATTTATATTTTGTAGGGTTTATTGAACACAAACCTGGGTTCAATTGCATCACTGGCTGCCTGGAGCAGAGGTTGCGCAGTAAACGTTTCACGCCAAAGCCTTAGCCTCAATTGACCCATTTCTACTTCAAGATTCTCACCAGCCGTACGCAATCGTAACATGGCCATTAACGCAACCTCCTTAACGTACAGGTCCAGATGGGCCAGACCAGGAATTAATTCCATTGCCGCGGTTGGTGTTCTCATGGCTCCTGTGATATTGAAACAAGCCAATCACTGTATTTGATATAATTTTTGGATGACCATTGACATTTAAGAGAAAGAAAGGTCATGTAATTGAATACCCATCGTGGTATTAGCCAATTAAGTAGTTATTTAGAGCAATCATTTGGCATATCCTACTGTGTGGATGACTGGGAGATATGAATGTGAATTATTACACACTATTGACAACTCCCCTCGTGATTTCCTACAAACTTTATTCTAGTAATTTAACCTAATAATCCAAAACGCGTGTTTGCTTTTTCAGTATCCATGATGATTATTATACAGTTTCCACAATAAATTTTATGTAACATGCGTTTCGCTACACGATAGCTTCATCAGTTGAACTAATACATCAAACTATTCTATTTACAATGTAATTAACAGTACGTAATTACAAAATTCAATAAGATCAACGATTGATATTGGTAAAGCAGGTACGATTTGAAAAAAAACAATTACAATATATTACTTCTAGGAAAACAGTTATTTAATGTGCTATACCATTACCAACAGAGAATAAATGAAAACATTTAACATACCGATATCTCTGGAAATAAACGCATACTTCAAGTTTTTTTAAAAGACCAACAAGAAGTTATTTATTCACTCACTATTATTCAACTTGTTTTTATAAAATGTCAATAATTAATATATTTATAAATAACCGATTTTCCTAGAAGTAATATTGTACGTGGACTGTTAAAAAATAGTGAATGTTCGAATTTCGCGGGCCACGTATATTCGATTAGAGTCTTTAAGTTGGTACACTGGTCTGGAACATATGTTAACAGTTTCAGCCGTTCATCATGTTTGGTTTGTTGGTGAGACGAAAAAAAAATTCCATCAAATTTTGTGTAAAATATGGAAATTGAGTGCTCAAAAAATACTTGAAATGTTCACAGTGACATACGGTGATTGTACTCTGAGTCATAAAAATGTTCACAGGTGGTACAAGCTCTTCATAGAAGGTCGAGAAGATGTGAATGACGACAGGGGTTTGCTCACTGTTTTCTTCAATTACCGTGGCGTAGTGCATCGGGGGTTCTTGCCACTTGGTCGTACGTACGGTCGATAAAGAGTATTATCTTGAAGAGGAGCAATATAGGAACGACCTGTGTAGTGTAAAAACAACTGGCTTTTGCCATGTAATTAAGTCTCAGCCACCGTATTCACCAGATTTGGTCCCCTGCGACTTTTTCCTGTTCCTAATAAATACACTGAATACACCAGTCCAACGTAGGAAACTATTATTGCAGTGAAACGCGTATTGGAAATTAAGTCTATATTGTGAAAATTTGTAATTGTCATCATGAATAGTAATATTGTATTGTAATTATTTTTTGAAATCTACCTGTTTTTCCAGAAGTATTCATTTATCTAATC